ACCCCATATTGCCAGAAAAACACAGAATTGTTGACATTTTTGCAGATTTATTAAAAAAGAAAAACTGAAATATCACATGGTCCTAAGTATTCAGACCCTTTGCTGTGACACTCATATTAGCCTCATTTCCTACAGATTGCGGCAAGTGGTGCAGGTTTGAGTGTTGACCTGCTCCAACACGTCCGGTTCGTCTTGGGGCCCTTCCAGATATATTGGGCGGTCCCAAAACGACGGATCCCGACTCTAGATGAAAACTTGCACCACTCCCACTTACCCCTACTATAGGCCTGCTGGCCAATCCCTCCACTCCCGAAGAGGGACTAACCCTTGCCTCTAAAGGAGCTCTACTCAACTCTGCACCCTCTTGAATGACTGGTGGGGCCTCTACCCCCACATAGGCTAAATCCCCATCCTCCAATTCATCCTCCATCACCAGGGGTGCTAGCAACTCAGACCGGCCCCCAAGGGACTCAGTCGGTGCCAGATTACCTTGAATACGGGATTTTAAGGACGCACGGTGAACATGACGGACCTTACCGAGGTCATGTACTGGTGCTACCGTGTACACTGACCCACCATCTCGTGGCACCCGGACTACCTGGTATACCGTCAAACTCCATAGGTCCTGGATCTTATGTCGTCCCAAGAACCCATGTTCCTGCAGATAGACCAATTGGCCCTCTGTCAGAGGCTGCTCCCTTACCCATTGGTCATGCTTGGCCTTACGATATTGGGCTGCCACTTGCAACCGCTCACGGGTGCCCTCAAAAGCCACTTGGAGACGAGCCTGATGCTCTTCCACCCAGTGGTGGATTCTACCGGCCACTGGCTCCTGCACCCGGCCAAACAAAAAATTCACAGGCAGTACAGGCTTCTGCCCAGACATACAGTAGTAAGTTGCGTGGTGTTGCACGGATGAGGAGTAAACAATAATGTCGCCAAGATACAACAAGACAGACTGGTGTTGCTGGTCGCCAAAGAGCCGCTGCATCAAGCTTTGGAAGGTGCCTGGTGCGTTGCACAGGCCGAAGGGCATCCGGTTCTATTCATATAGCCCGAAGGGTGTTCAAAAAGCCATTTTATGACGATCAGATTCAGCAACAGGGACTTGATTATATCCGCTCGCCAGATCTAAAGTGGTAACTTCTTCCTTACCATAACGTCCTTCTTCTTAACTAATACTACTGGGGAGGCTTATGGACTGCAACTTTCTCGGATCACTTGTGTGTCTAAAAGCTGGCTAATATGAGTCTTAACCAACTCATATTCGGATGGAGGAATTCGCCTATAGCGTTGTCGGACTGGAGACTCATCAATTAAGGGAATTTCATGAGACAGGAGGTCAGTACAACCCAAGTCACTCTCACTAGTGGGAAACACACTCTGGAATTCCCGAAGGAGAGCCCTTACCTGTTCCTACTCCTCATTCAACAACCCTTGCAGTTCTACATTTTCGATGTGCTCTGCTTCTGACGCAACAATCGTATCGCAGGTCACTATCCGAGCATTGACCATCGATACCTCGTCAGCTCGATAGGTGAATCCATCAGATACACTTCCCACAACTTCCCAAGGATCGTTGTGGGATATAAAATGACAAAGAGAACACCAACGTTAATGACGGGTACCAAAACTGTACCACCCTTTACGCGCACTAGAGACGGGGAGGCTAATAAGCCAGCAGGCAACCCGGTCTCAAGGGGCTCGAATAACACAATCTTATCACTGAACACGGACGAACAGGTTGCGGTTACAAATTTCAGAGTGCCGCCTAGAACACGACACACTCGACGCCCATGGACTTTTACATTACCTCCGCATGTGAGAACGCCATCTACCTTTTGACAGGTTTGAAAGTCCTGAGACAATTCCGCATCCTGCGTCACTAGTGGTAGCTCAAATAAGGTGGATCCGTACTGTCCGAAAAGCTCACGGTAGCAGCGACTAAGAACATTAATTCCCAGAATGCCGGGAATGCTAGAGCTGCCACCTGCCACGAGTTCAGTATTTGCACTAAATCTGCGCAGATTTGGCTTAAATGAACTTGCCCAAGAAATGAATGAGTGAACATAAATAACATAACAATAATGTTTCAGCATTGCAAGGTTTTTATTCCCATTATCCACATACAAAACCCCAGTTTGTCACAAAACACTCACAGACTCTATGAAAGATCCAAGTGCAGCATTTAATAAAGTAATCCACAGTCGTAATCCACATAAAACAAAAGAGCAAAAAGCATCACACAAGGTGAAAACAGACCGGTCACCAGCAAACACAGAGCATAGAGCAATTCCTCCATAATCCAAAGCTTAATTAGCCAAGTATATCCGGCCGATCAGCAACCCCGGTGGGCGGTAGCAAAGGCAGAGCTGACAACCACCTCAGCAGAGCTGACAAGGCAGACAAACCCCCTAGCGGCTCAGGCAGGACTGCAAAGATGAGGACAGAGAGGTTAGTAACAGCCTTGATGTTTGTAACAGGACAGGCAGACAGTTCAACAACAGTCTCTTTGGCCCTCACAAGGCAGATTTGAGAGTTCAGGAGTGGACGCCACCGCCCAGAGGGGAGCTGAAGCGGACGCCTCGGGAGGTTCTGCAGCAGAAACCACCACCTCGGTAGGAACTAGAGCAGACTCCGTAGTGGACTCTTGGACTGAAACAAGCTCAGGAGTGAACTCATAAACTTGAGTAAGCTCCGGAGTGGACCCATAGACCGGAACGAACTCTGGAATGAACTCGTAGACCCGAGTGGACTCCGGAGCAGACTCATACACTGGTGCGGGCTCAAGAGTGAACTCGTAAACTTAAGTGGGTTCATAGGCTGAAGAGAACTCTGGAATGTACTCATAGACTTGAGTGGGCTCTGGAGCAGACTCATAGACCGGTGCGGGCTCAGGAATGAACTCATAGACTGGAGCAGACTCTGAGGGCTCCCGGACTGGAGCGGGCTATGGAGTGGACTCTGAGGGCTCCCGGACTGGACCGGGCTCTGGAGTGGACTCTGAATTCTCCTGGACTGGAGCGGGCTCTGGAGTGGACTCTGAAAGCTCCCGGACTGGAGTGGGCTCTGGAGTGAACTCTGAGGCGGCCCATGAAAGCAGAACAGCCCTGAGGTGAAAGGCCTTCTTGATTATGGCAGCAGCAGTGAAATAGGGCGGCTCTGTGGCGAC